CATGTAGGCAACGAACAAGCTATCTTTGATTTGATTCCAATGGGGCATGACGACAATCTTGATGCCTTGCAGCAGCATGAAGCAGTGATGAAGTGCGGCAATAGGGTCTTCGGGCTTCTGAAGCTGTGCCGAGCCGAAGTTGTACGTGAAGAGTATAGAAGACAACATGAACATGGGCAAGGCTAGCTTCACGTCTGGATTGTCGAGATTTTTCCTATACGTGTCCAATGCTCGGCTGATATGGGAGTCTGCCTGGAGTAAAAAGGCCTGTCGATCGTTGGGCGCAAGCAGGAATGCTTGGTGGATTGCAGACAGGGCTAGGAAGCCACGCAAGAGGAAAGGGAATTCGAAGCCTAGTTCCACAAACTCAGTCTGCCATGCATTGCTCCGTAGGGAAGGGTTAGGATGCAGTGATTTGGCACATGACTTGATCCAGTGGTGCAGTAATCGGAGGTCGGCAAGGTGCAGATCGGAACCGGTATTGTTATTAAGTGCATCAGGACTCTCGGAAAGTCCAGGATCCTGGTAGGATGGACTGACTCCAGGGCTGTGGTTGGGGGATGAGGTGTAGCTCTCTGGTATGGTTGGGAATGTACAATGAATGTCCAAGCGAACGCAGTTTGCGCAGCGTGGCCGGGCTTCGTTGCACTACAACAGAGGGTAAGCAAAAGCGAGTGAAACTAGTGTGCGGTAGGCAGTGCAATTTGGCCATGTCATAAACAGACACGAAGATTTGCGTCGGGCATGATGCGTGGAGATTGGTAAAAGTTTGAGCAAGAGATGCTGATTGGCCGAGGAGGGCTGGGGGCGGGTTTTGGGCTTCAGACGTACTTTTGTGTGGCGTTGCTTGCACTGGAAGCATCCCTTTCGGGACTTTGTGTGCGTCTTGCGCTTTGCGACACGTTTCTCTGTCATGGTCGCGGCGAGGGTTAGGGTGAGGGCAGTTGCTTCTTCGTAAAGGACCATGCTCGCACTCGGAGGCCGGGTTAGAGAGGGAGGCGATTATGTAAGCCGTCAGCCACGTGGTTGGATAGGAGAAGGTGTGGGTGCCCTTTGCTGCGCCACCGTCCCATCTCTGCTTTGCATTTCGTCTTTGTTCCGCCAGACAACTATCAACTTCAGCCACTCGGAACTTGGCAGTTGGCAATACATCCCAGATCATGCCCTGCCTGTCAGCCCGTGGCCACCTGACTCTCATCTGTCAAGTCAGCCGGTAGACCGGTGTACCGGCGTGGCGGCATTGCTGCATCCAACCTTATCTCGCTGCTTGCTCACACGAATCCGCCCTGTGCTGGTCCGGCCGGGGCCCTTGCCAGCGATTTTTACTGCGGATTTTTACCGGAAAACCCAACTGTTGTCATGGGCCGTTTGAAAAGTCCGTCTTGGTGAGGAGGACATGGTGTTTGATTTTGTGGAAATAGTGTCAGCCTATACGACCATGGTTGCGTCTGGGGCGGCTTTTCCATGGCCCAGGCACACATGTCCGTATGGCGGTTGCAGAGAGAGAGGGACTGGATGGCGATGATGACAATGCACAGTAGTACTAGTACATGTATAAACGCACATGTGGACTACTTGACGGATTTAAATGTACTCATTAGACGAATAGTAGTTAGTATATGTAGTATGAATAGCAGCAGGCAGGGTTCTGGACAGGCACCACCCGTTTAGCGCGCCCGAGCAGTCCAGGGTGACGTACCACCTTGCCGTCGCATCCTACGGTTGCGAGTGTGCGAGTCTCGCAATGTGCCAAGCTGACTTTCTTTTCGCATACACTCCTCTCTCGCCCTAACTATGGTACGTCTAGCATGCATTCAACTATGCACCCACTGCAACTGCTTGCAACAACGACAACTAACTGTCCTGCCTAGGCGTCGCTCCTGCGACAGCTCGTCGCCGGCCCTCGCGCCAGGCATCCCGAGGCCGGCCTCGACCTATGCTATGTAACCGACAACAGTACACTCGCCACAAGACCACTGCTCCCACTCTTCATGCGCTGACCTCTTGTTGCAGTCATTGCCACTTCGGGCCCCAGTGGCACATATCCCCAGCGCGCCTATCGCAACCCGCTCGACTCCCTCGTCAAGTTTCTCGACTCCAAGCATGGCGACGACTGGGCCATATGGGAGTTCCGCGCAGAAGGCACCGGCTACCCAGACTCAGAGGTATACAACCGCGTGTACCATTATCCCTTCCCGGACCACCACCCTCCACCTTTCGCCCTCATACCCAACATCATGGCAAGCATGCGCAACTGGCTGCATGAGAAGAAAGGCCGTGTCGTTGTGGTCCACTGCAAGGCGGGCAAGGGGCGATCCGGCACAGCAAGTTGCAGCTATCTCATCAGCGAAGAAGGCTGGCCAATGCAAAAGGCGCTCGACCGCTTCACCGAGAGGCGCATGCGCCCCAATATGGGCAAAGGCGTCAGCATACCCAGCCAACTGCGCTGGATAGGCTACGTCGACCGCTGGACCAAGCATGGCAAGATCTACGTCGAGCGCCAGGTCGAGGTTCTCGAAGTGCACTGCTGGGGACTCAGAGACGGGGTCAAAATTCAGATAGAGGGCTTTGTCGAGGACGGCAAACTCATCAAGAATTTCCACACCTTCACCCGAGATGAGCGCGAGATTGTGCGCGGCGAAGTCAAGACCACGGGCATGGCACAGGCCGTCCAAGAGGTGATGTACAAGAATGGCTTCGGCCCTTCAAAGACCAACGAAGGGTCCAAGAACAGCAGCACCCTGTCTTTAGAACAACAGAACAACAATGACGGCACAGCCGCTGAGCGAAAAACCTCAAGCGAGAGCCTCCCTCTAGGCACAGGCGACGTCGTCTTTCGTCCTTCGAAACGCGTAGTCCTTCCCACCAACGACATCAACATCGATGTCGAGCGCCGCAACAAGGCCGCCTTTGATCTCACCATGGTCACGGCTGTCGCTCACGTTTGGTTCAACACGTACTTTGAGGGCAATGGCCCGGAGCAGAAGGGCAATGCAGACGAATCTGGCATGTTCGAGATCTCATGGGATGCCATGGACGGCATAAAAGGCTCGTCTCGCAAAGGTACCCAGGCGTTTGAACGGATAGCTGTGGTATGGCGTGCACTGTCTGCTGATGAAGGCCGACCTGGTGTATTGATCACAGAACCAAAAGAGGGCGAGCCTGTGCGACAGGCGCAACCTGCGGATTGGAGAGGCACTCAGGGCGTAGAGCCGTCCGAAGGTAAAGACCTCGGTGTTCGCAGAGCAAGTCCGACCAACACTCAATCCGATATTAGCCGGGCAAACAGCGTCAGAAGCGAAAACAAAAAGAACACGACCATTGTCAGCGCCCCTGGTCGCAGAGATAGCGAAGACAGCGATACCAGGGATGTGCGCTCTCACGGTCCCAATGGTGAGAGTGTTTTAGCAGAGCCCAGCGACTCCACAGTATCCGCCAAAGCAAGCGAGAGCGGGCCAGCGACAGCATCTACAGACGGCACGCTACCGAGCCAGATTCAAAGCAGCAACGGCAACACCACAGCAAGCAAGTCGGAGCTTCTAGGCCAAGGCAGCGAGTCGCATCACACGGGTGTTGTTAGCGAGGTGGCAAAGGACATCAAGTACCACATCTCCGGCGCAGTCTCGACTGGCGAGCTTCCCGACGGCAAGCCCGAGAACGAGATGAAGGATGCCAAAGAGCACGGATTAGGGCATCTGGCTTTTGGAAAGAAGAAGACGAGTTCGTGAGCACCAGAACCCATTGCGCCAACGGTACTGAGGGGTGTGCATGGCTCTTGCAAAAGGCCATGTGCTCGGCTTGGGTCATTGCGGGGCGTTAAGGGAGGGGGGGGGGGGCATCAACTTGCATGAGGGCTTTTTGGGGGGGATTTGTGTGATTGGCGTCTGGTCAAGGTATCACAGCCTTTGTTACAAAGCATGTTCTGTACACGTTGCATGGGTGCTCTAGCATCCATGTGGCGTTGAGGGGGTGGTGGGCCATGCGCGTGTATTTACCGAAGCTTCACTATATCGCTGTTTGGTTTGTGCCGTAGACTCTGGCCTTGCTGTTTCAAATACATCCAACTGCTGTTTATATTGTTTATCCGTGTGACTCCCTTTTCTTGTTCGCCCTTCCCCCTTGAGCACTCGTTGTCGTCTGGCTTCATTTCCTTGTTCAAGCACTGGGAGGTTGATAAACGGTAGAGAATATGCAAGCTTAGTGGCGAGTTGATGAAGTGAGGCGAATGCTGTACGCTTATCGCTCAAGCATCTCGATATGTCGTTTGTCGCAGCTAGCGCACTAAATCTGGATTTTATTTTTTTTACCCCTCGTGGGAAAAAACGTAGCAGAGGGGGGAGCCGTCTGGCCACTGATGACAGCACACGAAGTATGAAGGAGTGCACCGCAGGAGCATGCATGGAAACGACTACACGGAAACCGGAATGTGGAATGTTGCCACCACCAAGACATGTGCATGTGGACGGAACGTGGCGCCTGTCCAGGACGAGAATCACAGAGAGGATGTTAAGACGGCTGCTCTGTCAGTTTTCATGGCGAGAAGAATGGGTTGCGTTTCCGGTGAAGCAAAGGAAGGCTGTGAGACAAGGCAGCCAATACCCCGCGGAAACGTTTACTTGCGTTTCATAAGGACCTTAGTAAAGGGTTAAGAGGTCAGGGTCAGTGGTTGCCCCAACACGTTCAGCCGTTGATAATGTAAGCTGCGGGGCAAAGAGTATTCGCTCGAGTGGGTGTACAGGGAACGCAGCGGCAGACTTGGTTTTGTCTAAACGAAGACTGGGCGTTGTTCAGTTGCAGGGGTGTGAAGAGCCTGGTCAAGCAGTACTTGCGGCTCTGTGTGGGGGATAAAAAGGTGGTTGGGATAGACAGTGCTGCTCCGTTGTCTTTGGTAGGGACTATCTCATTCCAAACGTCTTCTTCGTCCTAGTTTGCTCTGAACGCTTGATGAGTCGTGGAGAAAGCGTGCATTGGATCAAACCTTCAGTCAGTGTTTGCAGCTCATGAATAGTCTAGACAGTTCTGGCACGTTGGCGGCTGACTGCACCTTGGCTTGTCGAGCAAACAACGAACTATCAGATACATCTTCATCAATTCCTGTCGTTATTTTTACTCCTTCCATGGTCTCTGAACCCGAAGCCATGGCACTGCGTGAGCAAGAGATGGAGGCTTTGCAGGAGAGCGCGGCGACTCAGACGTGCAACACACCACCGCAAGATGACGAAAAACATACTTTGGGTGTTGGAGCAACGGCAGAAGACGTAAAGGTGGAAGGTGTAGTTAGCAAGAAGACACCTCGTAAGGGTAGGCCGTTGCACAAATCCAAACGTCAAGTGGACGACAGCTCCGCATCCGAGGCTAGCGGCAACGAGAGCTCAAGCAATTCCGACCAAAGTAGCGAAGATGAGAAACTCAAGGCGAAAAAGCGGCTGAGGAAGATCAAAGCGGCGATTGCACAAGCAGAATCCAGGAAAAGGAGGAAGCAGAAGCAAAAGGAGAAACTAAAGGAGAGAATGAGGAGCAAAAAGCACGAATCAACCGACGAAGACGAGAGCTCGGCCGACTCTTCTGAATTCGAATCCGATTCTGATTCAGAAGACGCAGTGGCAGCCACCAAAAGCCAACGCAGAGCCCGACGAACTAAGGTCGAGCGTAAGAAGAGCAGGCGTGTGCAAAAATCGAGCGACACCGACTCCGACTCGGAAGCTCTATCAGCAGAGTCTAGTAGTGACTTGGGCACAGAGGACCAAAGTGCCAAACGGAAAAAGGCAAGGACAAAGGCAAAGCAGAGCAGTAGGAAAACGAAGAAGAAGCTTGACAAATACTCGTCATCTTCGGAATCACTCTCTAGCGACGACGAGGCCATCCCATTGCCCGGTCCCCCACCAGACGTTCGTGTGATAGAAGATGATCTCGAAGCGCAAGTGGCGACAATCAGTGGCCTTTTGCATCGCCTCCAGGCAAGGCAGGCTTGTGTAGACGCGGCGGCTGTGCCAATCCCCAAAGTGGAGAAAACAGTGGGCAAAAAGGGGCTAGAGTTCAAGCGGGTGGATCAGATATTTGACATGCAGATCCACGACTGGAAGCTTGTCGAAAGCAGCAGTGATCAGAAGGGTGAGTTTGACTGCATATTCACGGTGCGGCGGCGTCTCGACTGGCTAGGCAAGTATATCGAAACTCGGGTGGACATCAAATCGAAGACTCTACGGAACACTCTCCAAGATGTATTGAAGGACTGCAAAAGCATTAGTCTTGTCGAGGATACGCCCCAGTTGGATCCTCGCACACTGTTCCACTATTACGACGAGTTGAAGACGCATGTCAAGAAGACACTGAAGCGGCAGCTTGGAAAGGCCAAGAGGTCGAAGGAGCGGAAGCGGCTCAAGCAGCAGGTTGCACAGTGCAAGCTGCTGCTCAGCTATGTGGACGAGGACTTTGGCGCTACTCGCAAAGCTCTAAAGCCCATGGTCAAAGCAGGCACTATTACGTACGATCTGGTGTGGGCACTCTTCAAACCCAACACTATTGCCTTTACGCCTACGTACAACAACAAGGACGATGCGCGGTGTTTTAGGGTGGGGACAGCGTACGAGTTAGAAGACTGGTTGACGGGCGTCAAGTCGTGGCGTGTTGATGGCAAGTACCTCGAGTACGACGGCAAATCGTTTGGTCTCGGGGAACACGAAGTATCGGTCTCAGCGTTCAAGGGGCATAAGAAGATTACCAGTCTTGCCGCATATCCGCTCAAATATCACAAGGATGCCAAGGTATGCTCGATAGTCGGTTTGAGGCTGGGATGAATGAGTGCTGACAGAGACGCGCAGGGTATCAAGAAGCAGCTGATTGAGAGGGGCAAGAAATTCGTCGCGCTCCAGGGCATGAACTACCAGGTTCAAAAGGGGATTGCGTATATGAAGCACAAGAACAGCATCGTGCGCTTCATTATTAATGGTCGGGTCATGATTGATCCTGCCATGTTCCGCCGCATGAACCCAAACTACCCGCTCTCGTACCTCCGGCCAGATGAACTAGCTGACAATGAGGATGACGATGACGATGACGAAGAGTGCTGCTGCGACTCGAGTGAAGATGGAGACGGTGAAGAAAAGGAAAAGATGCGCATCGTCATGTGGAAAGACAGGAGGGGCAGGAAACACCCTATCCGAGTGCCACAGAGCGTTGTGGACAAGGAAATGGGCACCGGCACTGAACAGCCGCTCGACAGGGATGATGATGCAACGGAGGAGCAACGTCAAGTCTTGACCGAAGAAGAGCTCATCATCGCATCACCGGTCGTACTGGGCTTTGCTTTTTCTGAGAAGCTTTGGCTCGAGTTTTCTCTATCTGGGATTGAGGAGATCAAGTGGAATGAGGAAGCATTTCCCAGTCTGGTGTTGCCGATCCAGATCAAGCAGAATCTCAAGGGTCTTGTATCTTCGCATCGGTTCCACGCAGCCAAGACGATTGACGATGTGATTCAGGGCAAGGGCAAGGGGCTCAATGTGGTGCTGCATGGCCCGCCCGGGGTGGGTAAGACACTGACTGGGGAATCGATTGCCGAGTATCTGCAGTGCCCGTTGTACGCAGTGTCTGCAGGGGAGCTGGGGACCAATAGCCGGGCGTTGGAGGCGGACCTGAACCGCATCATGGAGATTACGCATGCATGGGGCGCCATCCTGCTGCTGGACGAGGCGGACGTGTTTCTAGAGGCGCGACAGCCAAATGACATACATCGCAACTCGCTGGTCTCGGTGTTCCTGCGGCTGACCGAGTACTACCAGGGCATCCTATTCCTGACGACGAACCGGGTCGAGACATTTGACGAGGCGTTCCAGTCGAGAATTCACATGGGGATTCGGTACGAAGAGCTGTCTGCACGTGCCAGGAAAGAGATCTGGCAGCAGCACGTGGGCAGGGTGGAGAGGATGAAGGGGAGCCAGGGAATGAAGGCGTTCACCGAGGCCGACTTTGACGTGCTGAGCCAGAGGGTGCTGAATGGACGACAGGTACGTGGAGTGACGAGCGAGCTGATGAAGGGCGTGATGAGTGTTAATTGTTTTTTTCTGCGCAGATCAAGAACACGGTCAAGACATCGCAGGCGATTGCGGTGGCAGAGCAGAGTGCGTTTAGCATGGAGCACGTCAAGCGGGTGTTGGAGGCTGGGGAGGCATTTGATGATGATATGCGAGGGGGAAAGGGGTACCGGGATGCGATGCTGCAGTACACGTGAGATGATGATGGTGGTGGTGGTGGTGGTAGTGATGACAGTAACGGTGGTGATGATGACGGCGATGATATGTTTGTATGTAGCATGTAGTATGTAGTAATGGCAGTGAGTAGTATGCAGGAGGATGCCAAGCGAGTGGCTGGCCGCGAGTCTCCACCAGCCGTTGTCTCGTGGATATCTGGGGGGCCAAAGGGCGAAAACACACTCGTGGGAACAACAACACCCGACAGCCCTATCTTATTCCCGTGCGCCTCGTCGCCCACTCACACACGACTCCGACATCCACACCCGCGTCACTTTGCCAGTTGTTGGAGCCCGCTCTCGGGCCACGCCGTCCGTGCCGCACAATGAAGCGCGACGACAACGACGGCAACATCAGCATCAGCATCACCAACTCCGACGGCACCTCGCAGCCTTCCTCCACCAGCCCGGCGGCCTCATCCGCTACCCACGGCCATGCCCCGGCCAAGAAAAAGCAGAAGCGCAACAAGCCCACGCTCAGCTGCGAAGAGTGCGTAGAGCGCAAGACAAAGGTGAGCAACCAACAACCACGGCCGTCTCTTCGGCGCAATTCGCCTCCCCCACCAACGGCGCAAACACCACATCCTCCTCCACCACCTCCACATTCCCACATTTCCACTTCCATCCATTACCTCATTCACCAGTCGCACGCTCGACGGCTGATGGTTTCCGCAGTGCGACCGCACCAGACCCCATTGCTTGGCCTGCATCAAACGCCAGTCGCCCTGCCGCTACTCAAACATCGCCAACCTGATTGCTTCTTCTGCCGACAAGTATGTATGTGCCCGTCCACTTGTCCACCCCACGACTGCTAAGCATCTGCGCAGAGTTGGCACCGCGCAAAATGCCACGCCTCGCTCCAGGAAGACGGCCACCAAACATCCACTGCGACTTGGCAAGGACCCGCATCCCCATGCCAAGTCTATCCAGGTGCCCCCGACGCCCATCCGGACCCAGTATCGGAGTGTGTCCTTGTCGTCATCAGGCTCGTCGCCTTTTTTGCTTTCAAACATCCCCTACTCTAACCACACGCCTGCCCCCTTCTTTGGCCTCGGCTTAGAGCATCCCTTTGCCAACTACTGGACCAGCCGTGGCGGCCTGGCAGAGGTAGTTGGCGTCCTCCCTGCAAAAGAGCAGGCCGACATTCTCGTCGACAAGTACTTTGATGCCGTCGATCCTGTCTATCCCATGGTCCACCGCAGGAACTTCTATGCCGACTATGAACGCTTCTGGTCCCTGCCCCTCGACGACAAGCATGCTGCGGACCCTGTCCTCGTCGCCCTTCACTTTGTCGTCTATGCCATGGGCACTCAGTTCATCCACACGACTGACAATCGTGAACGCGCTCAGATCGCAGAGTTCTACATCTCAGCAGCTCAACAGGCCCTGCGCATATCCTCGTATCTCAGTCGTGCCTCGGTCAGGACGTTGCAGGCCATGGTCCTGATAGGCTACTTCTTGATGAACGACAACCATGCTTCAGATGCCTGGGCCTTTGGCGGTGTCTTGGTACGACAAGCCTATGCCATGGGCCTCCACCGTGACCCGGACATCATTGCCCCTCGTTGCTCTCGAAGTGACAAGCAACAGCGTCGCAAGCTATGGCAGGCAATATTCTTCCAAGACACATTCCTTACCGTCCTCCTCAAGCTCCCACCAACCACAGTCTTTTCAGACATACAGCCACAGTCGCTGAGCGATGATCTGGACGACTACATTCCAAATGCCTCATCAGCTAACGGCGCCACCGATGCCGTCATCAATCCCATGAGCATCAGCAACATTGCTTCCAACTTGGACCTCTATCCTCCCTATGAGCTTTCAGACCGACGATACATCCGCTCAATGTGGCACATGGCCATTCTCGTTTCACGGACCGTCTGCATTCCACGTTCGCTAGCAACTCCCCTTACCACATCTGTCGCCCAAAAGACGGAGCTGGTCAGCGAATATTTTGCCTTGCACAGCACGTTTCCCGTCGAGCTCACAGCATCCGATGATGCTACAATACGAGCCATGGCCGAACAAAACCCACGAGGCCTGAGGCAAAACCTCTTTTTCCGGAGCAACTTTTGGCACTGCGTCATGGCTATCCAAGCGGACGAGAACCCCGCCGAAGGTGTAGCGTGTGACGTCAAGGGTGCCCTGGACGCTGCCAGAATGGCTCTGCAATCCTTTTTCCACTTTTGGGAATATCTTAGAATTGATGCGAGTGTCTGGTGGGTTTTCCAGCACCGCGCTTTCGAAGAAGCGGTACGTATTGCACCCACGATCAATTTTCCTCTGCTCCACTTCGTTACTGACTATGACGCTTAGCTTCTCATGGCTCGTATTCTGGGTCAACAAGCCCAGCCGCTTTCGCCAACCCAATCAGGCTTGCCTCCCTCATCAGATCCCCTTCTGAAAGATGCAAAGGCTGATGCGCGGAAATGTCTTGAAATATTAGACTTGGTTGGCATTGCCCCTGAAATGCAAAAGACGCGCACCGAAGTACTCCGAACAGCTTTTGCCGATATTCTTTGGTAATGGTATATTTTTCTCTTTCTTGAATATTGGGTCATTTTGGGTTTGGCAGCAACACGAAATACACATGTAACACTAGGCAAGCGTGGAGTTTCTTTCTACTATATACGAACAATAATCTATCAAGGACAAGGTACAAACTACATCACATCGATCCTTGCTTGTTCTGGCTACGGGGATACTTGGGCACAAACATGTGGCCTGGCGCATATGCTCCCCCCGCGTTTTTTCCGAGGTTCCGAGTACTTACCATCGGTCTTCTTGGCAGTCTATGTGGGCCGGGACTTTTCTCAGCCTTGTACCTGGACACCTGCTGCGTGGTGATGGGCATAGTAGCGTGTCGAGCCGGAGTCTGGATTTTTGGTCAAGGCATGGAATGCTTGACGAGAATCTGCAGCAGTCTAGATGCGTCAAGTTGAGCCAACGACACCAAGTCAATTCGAGTGCAGGCAATGGCTGATTGAAGACGATCAGGCCATAGCTTTTCTCTTCTATCAAGCATACCCACTTCCCGCCCTTTCCGACTCTTTTTCTCTGTCTCCTTTCTCCATAACCATGCACCGGCCAGCTGCGCTTCAGTGGCGCTAAATAGCTCTCCTCTCCACACAAACTATGTACGCACCCACACCCGATTAGCTCCAGACCAATATCCGCCACTCGGGCACTTGCGGCATTACGCGCACCCCAGACACTGGGCCAACTTGAACACATGAAATATCGAGACGAGGTGCTCAGTTCGTATCTATACCTCCACATGTTCGAGTCAAACAGCGTCTCGACGGGGCGAGACGATCCACATGGCGCCCACTCGCATGCCACACCTTCTGCGAGTGATGTTGCCTTGACGTAGCACAACAACAATTATCCAGCTGCTGACTCAGACCATCCGCGAACGCCGGCTTGACTGGTTTAGCCAGTCTTGTCCCTGGACTAGTTACTACAATCTGCAATGAAGCGGACAAGTCCTACGCGGATCCGTCAACGTCACGGTAGACGGGAGCCGATCAGGCAATAAGCGAGCCTATCGCCTCAACTGGACCCATCCTGAACCACTGACCGCGAACATTGTCGCCGTCTTTTAAGTAAGAGTATCCTCCGGGGATGAAAGAAAAGTGAAGCACGAAGACGTCTCATATCGTATCCTAGGCCAAAAGGAAGAGTGCGAGAGGCGTGTGTCAGAGGCTTGCAGTAGCTCAAAGGGGGGACAGGTTTGAGAATGACAATGGTGAATGTTCGACCCACGGATTAAGATTATACAAGGCCTCCAACTAAAAACGCTCGTGTACATGGGCCTTTGGTGCTTTTCCAGACTCTTTGCTCTCGACAGTCGACTGGCTGGTGCCCCCAGGACTGCCTCTCCGATTTTGTTTCTGCCCCTGCTTCCGACTCCTATCCATAGAAGCTCGCGCAGCTTGCTCATCCAGAACGGTGGATGTAATATATCCTGGCAGTCCTTGTTGCTGCTGCCATGCTTCTGACGGCATGCTCGAGCCAAGAAATCTTTCCTCGTCCGACTCTTTGCTTTCTCTCCGTGCCCGCGACGTGGTAATGGTAATGGACTTTTGAATCGAAGGCTTGATCGCGCTGAGCTGATGGCCAGACTGTTCTTGACCTGATTTGAGTGAAGGCTTGCTCCACGGCATGGCTGACGCTGATCGGGTAATTTCAAACGCTTGCTTCAATAGCGGTCGGAGCGTCGCGATTGATCCGGCTGATATGCCAAGGCCTACTTCGACAGTGCTCCAAATCGCAAAGTCTGTTGTCCGGAAGAGGAAGTCGCCCTTGTATCCTTTGATCGTTGTTGTGTACGGCAAGCGAATAATGGTCGCTGTAGAACCACTGTTTATGCATGTCAGGGGGGGCTATTGAGGGGAAAGAATATGATCCAAGTGCTACTTACATAGCTGCCAGGGCAATGACCGAGGCCACAACCACCTTCATGCGCTTCTTCATGTGCAGACCCTGGACGATGAGTACGGGAAGAATGGCAAAGACCCAGTCGGCAAAGGCGTTGAGTCCAGAGACGACAAAGGTAAAGTTCATGACCAGTACTGGGGAGAGGCAGGAGCCGGTGGCGTTGGGATCGAGATTCCACCAAAATGAGATGGGCTTGCACTGGAAGATGACAACGGACGTATATGCGATTCCCACGAGTCCAGATACGACCATGATCATACGAATGATCCAGATGTGGAGCGGCACAATGGTGATGCGTAGCAAGAAGAAGCCGACGGAGATTTTGAGCATACACGTCGACAGTGTGTAGAAGATTTCGCAGAAGAACCAAAAGTGAAGAGCCGTTTGGGCGCTCTCGTCGGTAAGGTGTATGCGGCGCACACCAGATCCGTTGATGGCGCCACCAATCTGTGATATCAAGTATCCGGTGAAGAAGAGTAGCGTGACGACCATTGTGTAGTCGTCAATGCCAAAGCCCTTCACCATGTGGATGCTACAGTCAAGCAAGTTAGTTACAAGGCCGGGTGGATTCAAGTAATCAGGCGACTTCTTACCGTACAAAGCACCGGAGACCGACAGTGAGCCATGCTAGGATGAAGAAGGTAATGCCTATGGCCAAGATCTCTCCACTGCGATCCTTCATCGTGAGATGATGGGGTATGAGGGGATCAACTGGGAAGCAATGATATCTGGGGGAGGGAAAAGCAAGCAGTCAAACCAAAACACCGACGACGAGTTGGGAGCACATTGTATGAAGTGGATATGCTCTCCTCGCCGGCGATCTTGCCTCGCAAAGATCCCGACACTTGGGCCTAACCCGTGTCGCAGTCTGCTTTGGCCCATTCTAACGCTAGAATCTTGTAAGCAACAAGACCGACCCTCTTGCTGGAACCCTTGCAGCGGTAGTTGAGACAGGGTCGGGCGATGAAGCCAAGATCTCCGTGGGGCAATCTTCTGCTTCCATACATGAGTCCCTCCAACTGGAAGATCGGCAACGTGCAAAGTGGAGCATTTCAACAGGCTGACTGTAGCCGGAACAAGTCAGCGAAGGGGAAAAAAAACACAGACCAAGTCTGTCAGTGTAGTGGTTCATTTTATGAGGGGCTCCACTCGCTCGAAAAAGAGGAAGTGGATAGGGCTAAACAGTAACATGTCTCGTGCGCCCTTGTTTAGCCCTGGGCGCGGCAAAGAACCCGACCAGTTGGCGACGCTCGGGTTTGGGACGGACGCTGGTTCTGGAAAGAGAAGGCAAGGATTTGCCGTGGACCTTGGTGGTTGCCACTCAAGTCAAAGGGGCAGGCGATCCCAGCGGGAGGAAGATGGATGCTGTCTGTGTCTCTCCTATCTCACGAAGGAACGAGAAGCCGGGGACGGTGTCCAATTGCCGTGTCTTGGACAGCTCCGTCGTTGCCGCTTCATGAGCCACATCGCGATCTGACAGTTGCAATGTCATCGCGTCCATGCTCGACCTGTCGTCCCAAAGCGCAGCCTTTGCCGTGCCGAGAGTCTCTGTTTTTGGCAAATTCGTCATTGCAACAGTGTGGAAGCGTGCCTGCGCTCTCTCATTGCTCCTGTTGACTAGGTATCCCTTCCGAGGTGGCGCAGGAGACAGCCATTAGGAGAAAATATCCTCCCCCGCACCCTCCCGCGCTGCGCGGAACGGCGTTCGGCGCCATGCAACCTTGACCGGCCGCTCGTTGGATACCCAGTCGTCGAATGCGCATGTTGCATCTGCTGGCGCTGGTGGCCATGCAGCGCGGACTACACCGTCAAGTGGGCCTAGAGGGGGACGGCTGTTGAGCGTTCCTTGCGTCTACTGTACGGGATGCACGGGAACCACGGTATCCATGTTCCGGTCCCCCCCACCAGCCGGCTGTCATCGAGCACGTTTTTTGCCCTCCCCCGCCAGACGACGGCACAGCAATTGGCAAAAATCAACCTGCAGCGACATGCAGGCATCTCCTTGCTGAGGCAACTAGAGATTCAGTAGGGCTCTCCTTGTGCCGCACGTTTTGCTGCCAATACCTGCCGTGAGGGCATGTCAACACAGAGGACCCAGTATGTACCTTACATATACATATACATACTTAGCATGTGCATGTATACAAACACCGGTAAATCAAATCATGGCAAACCCTCCAATCACGATCCAACACTCCTCTCCCTAGCAAATATGTATGGCGCAATCTTTCTAGAATCCCAAGGTAGATCCTTCGTATCTACAGTTCGTAGATTGTATACAACGTAGGTTCGTTCAGGGGCGGGTTTGCCAAACCTGTCTTGAACCACCCATGCGAACGGAAACCCGACAAGACTAGCCCGGCTCTACTGCGGCAAAACCACATCCGTCGAGGTTTCACCATATCCAGCAGGTCCACATGTCTCGATTCCTCGACGCGGAGACATGTCCAGAAAAAGTACAAACGGTCGGACGCTAGCATGATATTACGCATAGCTATTCTGTGCCGCCTCCCGCTTCTGTTTCATGCCAACTGCCAGAGAGAGAGAGAGAGAGAGAAAAAACGCTCACCCGTTGTGAGACTCGAGGCAATGTGAGCACCGAAGCTTTGCCCTCGACCTCGCCACAGCTTGGGTTGCTATCCAAGGGTCCACCGGTGCAAATTCTGGCCAAGGGGGGTTTGGGGGCAAACATGCTGACTGTCACTGTGCACAACTGTTGTGTCGATGGCAATCATAAACGCAGCTTGCCGTGACTCGCCTAATATCATCCAAACTTCCAGTCCCGTCTCGCCCCGGTCTTGACTGCATCGCGATGGGGTAGCCATACAATAGCTATTACTCGCCCCACGTGCCTAGTTCTTCC